GAAATATACAGATGCTTTCCAGTTGGCTTTCCAATTATGATGTCTGTATGAGGAAAAAGGGGGGGGGGCGCCTAGGAAACACATAAAGCCAAATGCATCATTACTGGGTGTGAGGGGTATGAGTCGAGAGTAAAGATTTGACATATATTTTTATTTTGAGATGCCAGGCTAATTTACATCATTCAGCCCTTTCACTGCCAAACTGTAAAAGTCCATTAAGTGACTGAAAGGAATATACAAATTATCCACTGGCACTCCAGGCTGGAGCTTTACATACAACCTGTTATTCTGTCCGCCAGCTAGCTGCAAGATTCTATTAAGCAGTAAGTGAGAAAATTATATTGCCTGCAAACTAATTGTACAAAAGACTCTGAAATAAGTCATCAGAGCCCAGGACTTTCTGAAAAGCCGCCAGGAGATATTATAAATTGCTCTATCATTCTTGTCAGCCTGGTTTAAAAACCCAAAGCTTCCATGTTGATTTGGTTTCTGCAGCCGCAAAGCTTGCCTCCCCAGCTGTTGACAAAACTGGGAAAATTCCAGCCGAATCATCAGTAGCTGCCCAGTTCAGTCCCTAGTGCCATCTAACAAATGTGGCCCAGAAAATAGCAAGCTATAATCCAAGAAAACTCCGTGTCTGAAATGAGAATCCTAGACTGTGAACAATAACTTCTGCATCTTCCTAAGCGACTGTCCAGTGTTAACATTCCAGGTGCCCACAGTTGCTAGTGGAAATATTTTTGTCTAGTTTCTACTTTTTCGTGAATGGAAGGAAAACAAGTACCCCATAGAGATGATACTGTCTACTGGGATAATATCTCTGAGCCATTACCAAAATAGATGGGACAGTGTTACCCAGGTGCTTGGGGCAGCTCATTTTTAGGATAAAATGCTTTCTTTATCGAATAGAAAAAGCACCAGGGAAGGTCTTTCAAGGGCAGAATCTCTGTAGACTCTCACATAGATCAAAGGCTTTGTTGGGTGGGCAATCATAGCAAACAACAATGAACTAAGTAACTCAATGGGAGGGCTTGGAAATTAGAGACTTTCCTCCAGCAAATAAGTTCTTTAGATTGTTGTTGATTTGTTTTTCAAGATATAAACCAGTATTACTTGGGGAAATCAAGGTTATCATTTGTATATGTCAGAACAAGTTGACTGAAACACAGCATTTGGTTGAAGGATGCTTGATTCATCATAAACATTTTCTGTACACGTAAGTTACAAATATATAATTTAGAAGAATACAAGGGATCATTTGCTTTTCTGTCCTTTTGCAGTGATTTTTGTTTTGTTTTGTTTTGTTTTGTTTTAGTAAAAGTGCTTTTTCTTAGAGCTTTGGGAAGATTCCTTTACCCCAGTGTAGTCATTTCTATGTTGGTCACAGTATAATTCAATCACTTGCTCCTCTGAAGGGTTTATTGACTTGCTAAGCAGTATCTTTGCATGCATTTGTGTGCTATGCATTTCAATCTGAACCCAAACTATTGTACTGTACCCCAAGTTGTATTGTATTTGTTTGCATGTCTGGTCTTTGCGGTAAAGCTGAGGGCCTTGCACATGGTACAAAATTGCAGGCTTGTGATTCACTGAGGAGCAGCAGTGAATAAGATCAAGCTCTCCCCTCAAGATTTCATGTTAAGGCACTATGAACAATTTCTCTGACTTTACCTTTCTCTGTCATTGAAGAATGACATAGTGCAATGGTTAGACAGGAAGCTATAGTACTTCTTTATAGGAGATATGAAACTCTTATGTGACCACTTAACAGTTTCCCTTCTGGTTTTGGAAGAAATTTAAAAATCTTTACACATTTGTTCACAAAAGAGCAATTCATAGACTTAGTGACTATTACTGAATCAATCCCGTTTTCTTTAGTTCTGAGGGCTCCAATCCTGAGGGAATCTAGTTTGTAAATAATAATAACAAATGTTATAATGGGGGTGAGAGTTGAGTAACTGTTTGTGCAATCTATCTTTATTTTCCTTTTATTCTTACCTCTTCATATCAAGATGTGTTTTTATTTTGTTTAAAACCACAGTGTTTTGTTTTTCACACTTCCACTCCCTAATGACTGTGTATTTTTGTTTTTTCCCTTGATATGTCCCTATTTTGCCATGCTTTTCCATTTTTGTCAAAGCTACTTATCAATGATTTTTTTTTGGGGGGGGATAGCTTTACTGCTACTTTTCTGGGTGACTGTGGAATGGTTTTCCTTATGTTTTGAATTTTGCTTTCATTTCACTTGACTGTGGGTCTTCCTGCATTACTGCACCACAATTGATGTTTACAGGCATGACCTTGAGATAACAAAAAAAAAAATTGTTATTTTAAGTCTGTTATTTTACTTATATGCTACTTTTCTGTGGAAGATTTCTATAGTGCATAAAAAATGGTCGTTGCCTCCAGGATCTTACCATCTTTTGGATAATATGCCTGCAAAGAGGTATAACAAATATGGCACATCTGTATACAATGAGAGTCCCTAGAAAGATAGGAGAACCAAGAAACCATTTTCTGCTAGAATGATCTGAGAAATTTTCAGGAAAGATTTGAATGGAATTTGAGCCTGGGAAGTAATTTAAAGTGGAAAAGAGGGCCTAAGATAGATCATTCTCAGAGGGAAGTCTGAAGGACAAGCAAGAAATGAATAAATCAAATCGACTGCATCAGAAAGTTCATAGAAGGTAGTAATTGTAACATTGCTGGAAAAGTAAAGGAGAATTGGATGGGGGAGGACTTTCCTAGCCTAATATTTTATACTTAATTCACAAGGCCATAGGAATCTGTTGATTTTCTTTTTCAATCGGGCTGATGACATGATCACATGATCAAAGAGGTTGTAGGAAGAGGAAGATGGTCGAGGAATCATCCCAGAAGAGAGGGGACAGAACAGACCAGAATGGCAGTGGGTGTGCACTCACTCAAGTGTGCTTTTTGGAGGATGCAGATATAATTTTCAAAAAGGGAGAGAAATTAGTTTGAAAGGAAATATGATGACTATGAGGGGTCTGGGAGGGTGGGTCATCTACATATAAGTTTTCAGCACAATATCGGTGAGAACTAATGTCCATGCCTGGGTCCTGGGATGCAAACGGAGAGTGACTTCACACTGATGCCAGATGCCAGACACAAAGGGAAGAAACCCATTATATTTTTCTTTCTAACCAATCATCCTTCAGCTTTTAGAAAGCAAACACTGTATCTTTTTCATTAAGTATAGGGAGAACTATGCAAAAAGGGAAATTCTGGTAGTTGAATACTAATTAACTCCTAGAAAGTTACTAGCAACAGTCTCTTGAAGCAAAGTAAATTTTCAGTGAAAAAATGGTTCATCTGAAGTTCAGGTTCTAAGCCTTTCCTTCTTAGCCATCACCCAGCCAGTCTGGTTCGAGTTCTCCTTGGTCTCGGAGCAGCATAGCATCAGTGATATCTCCCAGGAAGGTGACGGTGTATGCTTCTGCTGATGCAATTAATATTACTCTTACTATTAATCTTTTATGTTAAAAGTAGCTGCTTTAATTTATAAAAGCCATGAATTAGAATGTTAATTTAGTCAAACAGTTTTGATAGGCTTATCCGAAGTTATAATGCACAGCCCCTTTTATTTTAAGTCATGCATACATAACCAATTTCAGTAGTTATAAGTGGTTAGGTATTACTTCCTGTTGAATTAGCAGTTGCTGAGTAGTTGAATCTGTACAATCCTGCAATCCACTAATGTGATATTTAATGAGGAGACATCAGTCTAGAGAAAGGTAGTCAATATAAATCAGTGTTTACAAAGTGTGATTAACTCTGAAATATTTCATCAATGTTGCGGTCCCAAGCAGACTCTATGCTAATTACTAGAATCTGCGTATGTTTCAGGGGACTTGGATGGACCCCAAGTATTGCAAACATGGAGCAGCAAAATTGCAATTAAGCTCGGACCGTCTCTGATGACAATTTATGCATTTGGTGTGATGACCTCCCCCTTCCCAAGAGGGCAATAAACAGAATGCATTTTCATTAAGATACTAATGCACTTAATCACCAGGGGGATGGGTTAGGAAGTAACGTAAGACCTTCAAGCAGGATGTGACAGAGCTGATAGGGGAGAGAGGTTTTATTTTAAAGGCAGCTTCTGTGCAAAACTGTAAGCAGTCCCAGAGCACAGCCCCCACACTGTCATTGACACTAATTGAAAAAAAATGTCAAACTAAAGTGTAGATTATTTCAAATAATTATTTCACTTATTTCAAATGTGTAGGTACTGACATAAGTGATGCAAATTTTAATATAAAAAAGAAGTCAATTTTGTAGTGGCTTTTTAAATGAACTTCCATGGAGCTTTAGTGTTTGGGGTTAATTTTGTCAGTAGTATAATGAACGCAGTGTGATGGTAATGATGGTGATGTTGACAACCATCCTCATCATCACCATCTTCATCAACAAACCAAGTGCTAGATTTAGAACAGCATTGTGATACTGGTGACTGTATAAGTGAGAACCATACAATTCAGGTCCTGCCCTCCAGAAGCTTCCCATGATATCCCAAATCCACCTCCTGATTGTTTTTTCAGTAAGGTGTATATAGTGCAGTGTCAAAAAGAGAGTAAGATGCATCTGAGCATTAGTAACAACAACAACAAATTCAGAATGGATGGTCGATAAAAGAATACAGAGTTTGACATTTGTGTTTTTCTTGAAATAATCTGCTTGGGGATTTCTTTTGGGTCCTGAGCTTCAGGAAGACTGAACTTGGCAAGGATTCCGAAGGCTTATTTCAAACTTAATCATCTGAAAATCTTTACCACATATCTTCTCATCGTTCATTGCATCTTTGTTGGTTATAGCCCCGCATCTTGCTCTGTCACAGGCAAACAACTCATGAACCCCTGTGGCTTTTTTTTTTTTGAGGGGATGAAGTAACAGAGTTTGTGTTGTCTTGAGGTTTCTAATATGTCCTCAGCCCTGCAAGTCTAACAGCTTCTTTTCTTACAACTCTTGTGTTTTAGGTAATATAGAATACAGCTGCCCAGCCACGAACGAATGTGAAATCACAAAGCGCAGACGTAAATCCTGCCAGGCTTGCCGCTTCATGAAGTGCTTAAAAGTAGGCATGCTGAAAGAAGGTAAGGCTGGGCTGCAGGTCTCTGTGTGTGTGTGTGTGTGTGTGTAATGATTAACATAATTTTTCTGACACCAGGAAAGGTTGGGGTACAAGTATGCACTCCAAATCTGACCACAGAATTTGCCTTCTTTACTTCTGAGACTTCCCGGCTAACTGCTTGACATCAGGAAGATGTCAAGATAGGGCAAGATAGGGCTCATCAGATGTGTAACTAAACCCTTGCAGTATGCTTGCAGGTCTGATTTTTCCAACTTTCAAAGTTGCAAAATCAAAGGATAAAGGACAACCAAGATGCTACTGTCACTTGGGGCTTGCTTTTCTTCTCTTTGAGTGGGTTACAGAGATGTTATTGCCCCATCTTTACTTGACAAATGGAAATCTTATATATATTTAAGGTGTATGTAAGATGTTTTGATATATGTATAAGCTGTGGAACAATAATCATAACCAAGCTAATTATTATATCTACCCCTTTAAGTAGTCATCATTTTTTAAAATTAATCTTAAGTTTAAAGCACTCCTATTATTTTATAATCTTTTTTTTTTTTTTTAA